CAGCATCATCATCAACAACATCGTCATCATGATCATCGTCATCAACATCATCATAATCGTCATCATCAGCATCGGCATCATCATCAGCATCGTCATCAGCATCATCATCATCGTCATGAGCATCAGCATCATCATCGTCATCAGCATCATCATCATCATCAGCATCACCATCATCATCAGCCTCATCATCATCAGCATCATCAGCATCATAGTCGGCATCATCATCATCAGCATCATCAGCAGCATCATCATCATCATCGTCATCATCATCATCATCGTCATCGTCAGTATAATCAGCATCATCGTCATCAGCAGCATCCGCATCATCAGCATCAGCATCGCCATCAGCATCAACATCGTCATCAGCATCGGCATAATCATCAGCATCATCAGCATCATCAGCCTCATCAACATCATCAGCATCATCAGCATCAGCATCAGCATCAGCATCAACATTATCATCATCATCATCAGCAGCATCATCATCAGCATCAGCAGCATCATCCGCATCATCAGCATCAGCATCATCATAGTCATCATCATCATCATCATCATCATCATCATCATCATCATCATCATCAGCATCATCATCATCATCATCATCATCATGATCATCAGCATCATCAGCATCAGCAACATCATCATCATCATCATCAGCATCGTCAACATCAACATCAGCAGCATCAGCAGCCTCAGCATCATCAGCATCATCAGCAGCATCAGCATCATCATCGTCATCATCATGCTCAGCATCAGCATCATCGTCTTCACCATCACCACAACCACCAGCATCATCATCATGATCATCGTCATTAGCATCATCATGATCATCATCATCATCATCATCATCAGCAGCAGCATCATCATCGCAATCATCATCATCAGCATCATCATCATCATCATCATCATCATCGTAATAATCATAATAATCAGCATCATCGTCCTCATCCTCATCATCATCATCAGCATCAGCAGCAGCATCATCAGAATCATCATTATCGTCTTCATCATCATCATCATCATCATCATCATCATCAGCATCAGCATCAGCATCAGCATCAGCATCAGCAGCATCAGCAGCATCATCATCCTCAGCATCAGCATCATCGTCAGCATCGTAAGCGTCATCATCCTCATCATCAACAGCAGCATCATCATCATGAGCAGCAGCAGCATCATCCTCATCATCATCAGCATCATCAGCATCAGCATCAGCATCATCATCAGCATCAGCTTCATCATCATCATCATCAGCATCATCATCATCAGCATCATCAGCATCATCATCAGCACCACCACCACCATCATCATCAGCAGCATAATCAGCATCGGCATCAGCAGCATCATCATCAGCATCATCATAATCATCATCAGCAGCAGCATCAGCATCGGCATAATCATCATCATCACCATCATCATCATCATCATCATCATCATCATAATCACAATCATCATCATAATCATCAGCATCATCAGCATCATCAGCATCAGCATCGTCATCATCAGCATCAGCATCAGCATCATCAGCATCATCATCATCATCATTATCATCAGCATCGTCAGTATTTGCATCACCAACATCAGCAGCATCATCATCAGCATCATCATCATCATCACCATCATCATCACTTTTATCATCATCATCCGCATCATCATCACCACCACCATCATCATGATCAGCATCATCATCAGCAGCATCATCAGCATCATCATCAGCATCATCATAATCATCAGCATCATCATCATCCTCATCATCATTATCAGCATCGCCAGCATCAGCAGCATCAGCATCATCATCATCATCATCATCAGCATCATCATCCTCATCATCACCAGCATCTTCAGCATCAGCATCATCAACATCAGCAGCATCATCATCATCATCAGCATCATCGCCATCATCAGCATCATCATAGTCATCATAGTCATCATCATCAGCATCGTCATCAACACCACCGTCATCATCATAACCATCATCATCAGCAGCATCATCAGCGTCATCATCATCATCATCACATCATCAGCATCTTCATCATCATCATCATCAGCAGCATCATCATCATATCATCATCATCATCATCATCATCATCATCATCATCATCATCATCATCCCATCAAAAAAATCCAATTCAAAAATTCCCCAAATCATCATTCATCAGCATCCTCATCATCATCATCATCCTCATCATCAGAACATCATCATCCGCCTCCTCCTCCTTTCTGGCCTCAAAAGCCGCCTCCTCCTCTCCTCCTTCCTCCTCCTCCTCCTCCCCTCCCTCCTCCTCCTACCGCCTCATCCACCCCGCTCCTCCCCCTCCTGCTCTCTCCTCCCCTCCTCCCTCCCCCTCCTCCTCCTCCTCCTCCCCCACTCCTCCTCCTCCTCCCCCTCCTCCTCCTCTCCTCCCTCCCTACCCTCCCCCCCGCCCGCCTCCGCCTCCCTCCCTCCCTCCCTCCCCCCTTCGGCTCGCCGGCCCCGAGCCTCGCCGCGGGACGAGGCGGCCAGGCGGGCGGGCTCGCGCGCGCGCGGGGGGGGGGGCGGGGGGGAAGGGGGTGCAAAACTACGGGACGCACGGGAGAGGACAAGACTTTGGACGCCCGAAACTGACTACCTACCAGACCACCCCGACCCAACCCGAAGACCCGAAGTTGACCCGAATTTCGGGTTGAGGGGGGGTAAGGGTTCCACATGTGTTTTTTCAATGTTTCCCGCCCCCCCCCCACTGGAACTCGAGGGTAAATCTGAGCCTTCGGGTTGGGTCGGGGTGGTTTGGTGGGTGGTGACTTTAGACGCCCGAAACGGGTGCGGAAAGAATGGGTACAGTGCCCAACAGCAAGAAAGGTCGCCGGGGGCCGACGGAGCCCAAAAACCAGATCGAACCTAGAACCTCGAACCTGCCCGCCCCTCCTGCGGGCCGGAGCCAGTGCCGAGCCACCAGCGGGCTCCAACTCCTATGAGCAACCACACAACCTTGGCGGCGCGCACAAGGGGGTAGGGGGAGTTTGGACGCCCGAAATGGATACAGAAAAAATGAGCACACTGCCCAACAGCCAGCGTTGCCCCAAAACAACAGCGGCCGCTGTTGGGCAGGCGGCCTTCTGTCTCGAGTGGACACAGGCAGCGGCGGCGCGGACAGCGAACTCTGTTCAAACTGAAGAGGAACTGCTGTTGGGCATCGTACCCATTATTTCCGTGCCCATCCCGTTCGTGCAGAAAGACGGAGCCAGGACGAGGGCAAATTCCTTGGACGCCCGACGTGGGCACGAAGAAAATGGGCACGATGCCCAACAACCGATGTTGTCCAAAAACGGCAGCGGCCGCTGTTGGGCGGGCTGCTGTTTGTCTTAAATGGGCAACGTCGGCGGCGGTGCGGAGAGCCAGCCATGTTCAAAACGAACAAGAACTGCTGTCGGTCTGTGTACCCACTCTTTCCGTACACATTTCGATCGTCCAAAAATTGTGGTGACGATAAGTCGAGAATCTCAGAGATCTGGCGGCTCTGGCGGATGTGTCGGGCGGCGTGGCCTTCTCAGAGCGTTCGGGAACGCCCCGAGAGCGAGCCAGAACGCTCTGCAACGGATTTATCCTCGCCCTGGAGCCGTCCGAAACGGACCTGGGGAGAGGGCGCAGGAGAGGAGGAGGCGAGGAGGCGTTGGAGGAAAGAGAAGGTTCGGAGGCAACTCCCCAGAGGCCTTCGTCAGAACGATGAAGGGCGCATTAACCCGATCAAAGGACCAATAGGCTTGATCAGGCCAGGTTAAGCCTGGGACGAAGCTGGATTGAACTGGAATGCGTGGGATCCAACTGGATTAGACGGGGGTAAGCCAGATTAAACAGGAGTATGCGAGAATGGGAAGTACCCCACAACGGATATACACGCGCCGATGCTGAATCGAACCTCCCAGGAGGTGCATCCTAAAGATGGGAGGGAGTGGAGAAAGAGGAGGAGGAAGAGGAGGAGCTTTGTCGACGAGCGAGGCGAAGGGGAAGGAGGCGTAGAAGGAGGAGGAGGAGGAGGAAGAGAAGAGAAGGAGGGAGGGAGGAGGTAGGAGGAAAGAGGGAGGAGGGAGGAGGGAGGAGGAAGGAGAAGGGAGGAGGAGGAGGAGAAGGGAGGAGGAGGTAAGAGGAAAGAGAGGAGGAGGTCATTCAAACCCGTCAAGTGTTGGCGAGATCTCTGCCAACAGGAGCACCTTTTACGGCGTCGGGCAATGACGTTGATCCCCTATGCCCGTGATGCCTCATGCCCTGGCACTGCGGGGCACAGGACATGGGAATGCCAGGATCCAGAAGCTGCCACGCACAGGCACGGGCCTGGTGGTGCTTCTGTGTTGGCGCAGGTCGAAGCTGCAGGCCCGTCCAGCTTGCCCTTCAGCAGGCTGTGGCCTGCCTTGCCCGACAGCCCGGAGCCTGTTCAGGATTGGTTGCTCAAGACTGATGCCCCCCAGGGGCAGAGGAGGAGGAGAGAAGGAGAGGAAGAGGAGGCAAGGAAGAAGAGGAGTAGGAGGAGGAGGAGGGAGGGAGGGAGGGAGGGAGGGAGGGAGGGAGGGAAGGAGTGGAGGAGGGGAGGGGGGAGGGAGAGGGCGGGGGGGAGAAGGGATGGAGGAGAGGGAGGAGAAGGACGAAGGAGGAGAGGGATGAAGGGGAAGGGGAGGAGGGAGGGGGGGGGCGGGGGGAGGAGGGAGGAGGGAGGAGGGAGGGGGGACGGGGGGGGGGATGGGTGGGAGGGGTGGGGGTGGGGGGGGGGGGAGAGGAGGAGGAGGGAGGATAAGGATGGAGGAGGTGGAGGGAGGGAGGGGAGGGGGAAGGGAGGAGGGAGGAGGGAGGGAGTGGGAGGGAGGAGGGGGAGGGAGGATGGAGGAGTGAGGAGTGAGGAGTGAGGAGTGAGGAGGGAGGAGGAGGAGGAGGAGGAGGAGGAGGAGGAGGAGAGAAGGAGGAGAGAAGGAGAGGAAGAGGAGGAGAGGAAGAGGAGGAGGAGAAGGAGAAGGAAGGAGGAGGAGGGTGGATGGTGTAATGGAGAGGACCGTGGGCCCAGAGACCCTCCTGCGGCGAGGGCACGGAAAAAGGCCCCCCCCCAGGGAGTGGGGTGGGCGCGAGGGCCATCCGTCACTCCGCCTTGATGCTGCTGTATATCAGCCACACAAACTTCGACGAGCCCGCGAAGCCGAGCGAGCCTGGCGGGTGAGGAAAGAGGACGACGAGGGGGAGTACAGTCGAACTCGATAGTAAGGACGGGCGGTAATGACGCAAGGGCCCTGGACGCCGAAGTTGGCACTGTTGGGGCGGCGGATTGTCAAACACCTGCAAGGCTGGCCAGTGACGACCGCACAGGACGGGCCACCGAAACAAGGACGTAAGGGGACCCTAAGGACATCCGCGCGTCCTTACTATGAGTTTCGACTGTGCAGTAGGAGCCCGACCAAACAAAACCTTCCACAATAAACCCATCCCTGGAATGGGAACATCAATCCTCCCATCGTAAGGACATATCGGAACCCAGGAAGCCCAGGGCACCATAGAGGAACGGAGTCAACATAGACGACCAGAGGACAGCGCCGATTTGTTCGGATCGGTGCTGGGCCCCCCTCCCTGGCGTGCGGAGCGCGCAATGGGCGGTGCCCGAATTGCCAAGGGGCCAGCGCCGATCCAAGAAGTCCAAGCGGAGCTCCGAAAGTGCATGTTTCTGCCTGCCTTTTCTTGGCGGCGAGCGAGGGGGGGGAATGACAAGGAGCAGGCCTTCTCAGAAGGCGGCGAGACTTCTCAGCAGCCCTCGCGCCATCCGTGAAGTGTTCTGCGTCTTCGGGGCAGGCCTGGAAAACTCCACAGAAGGCCGGGGGACCTCCGAGCCTTCTGACCAGGCCCGCCCCGTCTCACTTCCCCCGACCCCCCCGCTCGCCGCCGATCGTGTTGTTCCGAGGCGCGGGCGACGGCACTGACGAAGAGAGAGAGCGGGTGCGACGTCGGGCGGCGAGCGGCCCTCTTAGGGAGCCCACAAAAAGACGTACGCGCCCAGCTGTGTGCATGAACACGGCCCCTCGATCCGCGAGCCCCGCCGCGCGACACGAACATCATTCGCGCAGCGCATACTCTCGAAACCAGCATGGATTCGTGTACGTGTACGTGCTTCTTTCGCTCCTGGCCTGTGGAGTGCACCTGTGCTCAGGCCTCTGGGCCCCGTGGTGCGCTCCCGCTGGCGGCAGCGCCTCCGCGCCGCCGCTCCAGAGCCCGCGGCAGCGGCCCTGAGGCGCCCGCCTTCTCGCCGCGGTCCGGGCGGGGCCCTGCCAGCCGAGGCGCCCACTGCCTGCCCAGTGGTCATGGAAGTCTCGGCCCGAGGTGCTCTTGCCTCGCGCCTGGTCCCTCGCTCCGCATCACCTCTCTCCTCCTCGCTCCTCCTCCTCCCCCTCCTCCCCCTCCTCCGCCTCCTCCGCCTCCCTCCCCCCGCTACCTCTCCCCCCACCCCCCACCCCGCAGCCACCAACCCCCCAGCCTCATCCCGCTCCATAGCCTCATTCTCGCCCGCGTCCCCCCTTCCCCCCGCCATCCTCCTCCTCCTCCTCCTCCTCCTCCTCATCTTCCTCACTCCTCTCCTCATCCTCATACCTCCCCCTTTCCTCTCTTCCTCCTCCTCCTCATCTCCTCCCTCCTCCCTCCTCCTCCCCCTTCCCCCTCCCCTTCCCCTAATCCCCGCCCCTACGCCTCTCCTCTCCCTCCCAGCCTCTCCTCCTCCTCCTCCTCCTCCCCCTCCCTCCTCCTCCCCTTTTCCCCTTACTCTTCCCTCCTCCTCCTCCCTCCGACACTTCCGCTCCTCCTCCTCCTCCTCTACCCTCCTCCTCCCTCCTTCCTCCTCCTCTTCCTCCTCTCTCCTCACCCTCCTCCTCCTCCTCCTCCTCCTCCTCCTCCTCCTCCTCCCCCTCCTCCTCCCCCTCCTCCTCCTCCTTCTCCTCCTTCGCCCTCTACCCTCTTTCCGCACCCCGCTGGCATGTTCCTCCTCCCTCCTGACCCTCTAACAGAGAGACGTGCCCGCATACGACCCCAATGAAGCAAAACGACTCCTCCTCTGAAAAATAGAGGACCGGCCGAAACAGCTCCGCACAATCCAGCCGAACCCAGGCTCGCATTGCCGACTGCTGGAGGCGGGAGGACGGAGGAGAGAGGAGAGACGAGGGGGAGGGAGGAGCGACGAGTGATTGTTTAACATCCACGCGAATGCAGCCCACGTACACCCCCAGAGGTGGGCGATTCCTCTGGGGGGTGACACGGAGCTCCACAACTGCACAGTGGAGCTGAGTCAGAAGGGGAGCCATGGCGGCTCGCGAGTCACTGCTATACGACGAGGGCGACCACGCCACATGCCAAGTGAAAGCGCCCACCAGGATGAGGTGAGCCAAAATACAGCACGAGGTACTGGCGAGAGAGACGCCAGAAGCCGCAAGATTGGTGGCTCGACCCCCAAAAGTAGCACGGGACGCGAGACGAACAGGGGAGCGACGAGGGAGGAGGGGGGAGGGGAGAAGGGGCGGGGGAGGAGGAGAAGGAGGGAGGAAGGGAGAGAGAAAGAGGAGGAGGAGGAGGAGGAGGAGGGGAGAAGGAGGGAAGAAGGAGAAGGGAGGGGGAGGAGAGAGGAGGAGGAGGGAGGAAGAGGGGAGGCGGAACGACGAAGGATAGGGGGAGGGAGGAGGGGAGAAGGGGCGGGAGGGAGGGAGGGAGGGCGGGAGGGAGGGAGGGTGGGAGCGCGGTGGGAGGGTGAAGGGAGGAAGGAGGGCGAAGGGAGGAGTGAAGGGGAGGAAGGAGAGGAAGGGAGGGGGAGAAAGAGGAAGGGAGGGGGAGGGAGGAGGGAGGAGGGAGAGGGAGAGGGGGAGGGCAAGCTAGGTGCGCTCGCGTCATATCTGACGTCCTACCCCTCCTCCAATCCCGTACCATGGGCGCTGATTTTCTCTATTCGCGGTACCGTGTCGTAGCGGGCGCCTGTGGATCCGCGCGCGCGTGCGTAGTGGGGTGGTGCGCGTGCGTGCGTGCGTGGGTGTGTGGGGTTGTGTGGTGGTGGAGGTGGTGGTGGTGGTGGTGGTGGTGGTGGGGTGGTGTGGAGGTGGTGGTGGTGGTGGTGGTGGTCGGTGGTGGTGGTGGTGGTGGTGGTGGTGTGGTGGTGGTGGTGGTGGTGGTGGTGGTGGTGGTGGTGGTGGTGGTGATGGTGATGGTGGTGGTGGTGGTGCTGGTGGTGGTGGTGGTGGTGCGTGTGGTGGTGGTGTTGGTACTGGTGCTGGTGCTGGTGGTGGTTGTGGTGGTGGTGGTGGTGGTGGTGGTGGTGGTGGTGGCGGTGCGGCGCGGTGGTGGCGGGCGGATGTGCGCGCGAGAAAAAGGCCCGCGCTGGGGCGAGAACGCCATCCTGAACGACGGAGGCCAAACACCGATCCGAAAATGAGGCCCACGCTGCAGCGGGAGCACGATTCGGAACGATTCGGGAGCAGAAATGAGCCCGGCGCCTCAGCGAGAGCAGCATTTTGAAAAAAACGCAGGCGAAAACCCGTTTCCCGGGAATCCTGTGTAAAAAAACAATACGCGGGGGGGGGGCGGCCATCTTCGGGACGCCATCAGGGAAAGTGGGAGAGTATTTTCATATTGTGTAATTGTAGAGAGGGAGAGAGGGGGAGGGAGAGGAGAGAAGGGGAGGAAGGAGAGGGAGAGGAAGGGAGAGGAAGGGAGGGGGAGGGAGGAACGGAGGAGGGAGGAGGGAGAGAGGGAGAGAGGGAGAGGAGAGGGCGCAAGGAGGATGGGAGAGTGGTGGGAGGGAGAGAGTTGTCGATCTGCGGTCGCGGCTTGGACCCGAGCTGCGCCCACGAGCGACACGCTCAACAAGCCAGCACGTGCCATCAGTGATTTCTAGCTCCTTTGATGTCGATGTTCGCCCCACTTTGCCGTCGCTGTTTACGGTATACCTTTGCGGAAAGATCCGCCATACTTTTCTGAGGCGGAACGTCCACCCTACTTTTTCGCATCGTCTGGAGTGCATGTTCGACAAGATATCAAATTGGAAAATCTGCCAAGATGCGACGGACGAATCAGCGATGCATCGCCGATAGATCGGCGATTGGCCCCCGATAGCAAGTCCGCACGTTCCTGGGCAGGGTGGGCTATCGAGCCCCTCTCGGAGAATCGGTGGGCGATGGGGAGCCGACGTGCCCCCCCCTCGGCCTATCCCCCCCCCCCACACGGTGCCCCCTGGCTTTCGGGCCATGGCTCGGCCGTCTGGCGGCCGCTCGGGACGCTCCTGGCACCCCTGGAAGGCTCTCGACGAGGCGCAACTGCGGGAACGCACCCCGAGGCTGGAACGTCGCCGAGAACCTGCGAGAACATGTCCGAGCATCGCCGAGCGCCTGCGAGAGGACGTCCAGAAACTTGCGATGGGGGGGTCGATGTGACCCCCCTCAGCCCATCCCTCCTGCCGTTTAGGGGCCTCCGAGATGGGGTCGGAGTAGATGTGGTCGGACGATCGCGCCGTATCGCCGATGCATCGGCGATTTATCGGCAACGTCGGCGCGGAGCCTATCGGGTTCCACATCGAGCCGCATCGACGATGATGCATCGGCCAGGCGGTGTGATCCTCTAACCCCATGTACTCGGACCCCCTCTGGGAGGCCTCGACTCCCCCCCTATCGTTGCCCCTGACGACTCGAGGGGTCTGGGAGGACGTCGTAAAGCAGATTGGGCTTCCGCCCGCCCCCCGAAGAGGAGGGAAGAGGGAAAACCGATCGACCATTGAAGTAGGAAGGGACCTAAAATTGATTGGGATCTGGAAACCCAAAAATCCGCCGACCCTGTCGGCGTGTGCAAGGGGCTTGGCTGTTCGAGTCGTCGTCTCCGTCGGTCGTCGCCTGCGTCGTCCCCTTTCCCTGCAGCTTCCTTCTCAAGCTCGTGAGCGAGAGAAAAATCTAGCAGTGTCGTAATCGAGTCGAAGGGAAGCCCCTTCCCTTCGATCCCTTCCCCAGGGGGGGGGGTCCGGGGGGGTCC